AAAAAAAATTTTAAAAATTTAAAAAAAAAAAAAAAAAAAATTAGTTTTAAACACACAATACAAATGTCTCAGATTACTCCTTCTGACTTCCGCTTAAACAGTCAGTTTGAGCAGTCAGTCAGTCAGTCATTTAAAGTTAAACTGTGATAACACTTGAAATTTAAAAAAAAAAAAAATAGGAGAAAACAGCCGATTCAATTTTCTACTCTATTCTTCCAACTATTTCAGCACTTTATTTTTTAATTAATTATTTGACTACTTAATTTATTGTTGTTTTCTTTTTGATAAGAAAAAAGTGGGAAGCCACAGAAAAGCATTGGTCAGACACCATCAAAAAAAAAAAAGTGTATATATATATATTGAAAGCTGTGAAATGACAGAAGAAAGGGATTAGTTGGTGTGCGATCAGCAAAGCTTTTTGGTGCTGATAATGGTAATAGAACATAACAAAAAATTTTTCAATTTTTTTTTTTGTACTATTTGTTGCAAGAAAATTTTAAGAAGCAGTAATGTCAGTTTTAGATGGAAAGTGTAAAAAAAAAAACTTGAGAACAGTTAACTAATTAGTTAGTCAACAATGATTTATTGAAGATGACGAAATGTTTAGTATTTATTACCGAAAATCCATATCTGCTTGTAAATCCAAAATAGATCAATTAAAATTTGATACTACTTCTCTATTAAACCAAGAATTAGTGTCAATTATATTTTGTAGTTAGATTAAACAATTCAACTTTTGGAACAAATACATTATGATTTAGAATTTGTTTAGATAAGATAAATATTATTAACAGAAAAAAGAACTGTGATCAATTTTATTAAATTGACAAATCAGTAGGTGATTATCATTATTTGACATATTTATTTGTCAACAATTAAGCAGTAAAATGTTTTCTATCTAAGCAAATATTTCTGTGCTTGAAAAGTGACTATTGACAGCAGTCAGAGATCGGCTAAGTATCATTAGATTGAGCAGCTAAGGTTGTACTTTATAATTACCAAGTTTATTTTTTATTATATGTTTGGATGTGTATCTATCAGTTTCAATGCATAAGAATCTACTGATTTTCAGAGCAGAACTGAAAACAATAAGAGGGCCAATTGAGTTGAACAAAAAAAGGAAAGCTGTTTGCTAAATATATAAAATGTATAGTTATAATTTTGAAAGACTTTTTTTTTGTCTGTAAAAAAAAGAAGGAAACAAATAAGTAAAAATACATTCAAAAAAAGTTCAATTACTTTTTTCATCTTTGTACACAATTTTTACAACTTAACAGTGACACTTTTTGCCTTCGTCTACGGTAAAGTAATATAATCTTTTGCTGTTTTATGTTTGTTATACCATTTGTCTTCTCGAAAAAAAAAAAACTTTAAATAAAAAAAGTAAATTTTTGTTTTTTGTTTTCGTTTTTGTTTTGAACAAAATGTATCTGCTTGAAATTTTCATGTAAAGCTGAAAAAAAATAGACAAGAGAAAACTGAAGAAAGTGTTTTTTTTTTTGTTTGATTCTTAAAACGTTATAGAAACAGTTGAAGAAGAAAAGCAAAAATATATTTGGTACAGTAAATATGCAAAAAAATTTGCAATGTTATTACTATAAGTTTTTCCTGTTCCTCTTATAACTAATCATATTATATGTGAAGAGAATTGGGAGAGGAGTCAAAGGCGACAGGAAAGGGGAGGAGGAAAAGAGAGCAAAAAAAAAAAAAAACAGTTATAAAAAATTA